CCCATTGACCACAACTCTGAGCTCTTTCCTTCAGTCACACTGGACACAGTTCTCTTCATGAGGATTAAGAAGCAGTGAGTAATGGGGGCTGATCACTTCCTGTGGTGGGCTGGGTCCTGTCCATACAGATAGGATCCTGTGGACCTTCCTTGCAGCCAAGGAACGCTTCTGGCTCACAGTCACCTTTCTGCACACTACCTCCCAGGTTTTTTCCACACAGCGTGTCCCTGCCAGTCAGTTGTCAGTGCTCTGAGGGCACTAAGAGGCCTCACTGACCATTCCTGGATCCTCCGCTCACACTCCTTTACCCATGGACCCCCATGCACCTTGCTCACAGATTCAGGTTTTGGCCTTCAGTCCCATCTCAAGCTAAGTTGTAGCTGTGTTTGTCTGCAGCTTGCAGCTGTGCCTCTGCCTGGCCATGGACCTTGTTGATCTAGCCTCTGACTCATGGACTGACCTTCTGCCTTGACCTTGGGCTCACTTCATATTTATTGACCTGCACAGCAATTACTAGGCTTTGTCAGACTTTGGTTAATGTCACTGGACCTAATCTAGGTCCATTGATTTGTATTCCTGGCCCATCCTTGAACCTGCCTCTTCGCCTGCATCTTCATCCAGAGATGATCTGGACACCAAATGAACTTTGCTAGAGCTTATTGGTTTACACTGCCTTCCCATTTTGGATGAGTGGGGCTAGGCCCTGGCTAGGCCCCAACCTTGCTGGCTGTGTTATGATACTCTGCTCCCAGCTACCTTTCCTTTTGGGAGACTCCAGCCTGTACTGCTCCCTGAAATATGGCCCCACTTTGCATAACTATAAGACTTCTTCCTTCCAACTGGCAAGTGTTGGTGTTTGGGGTTTTTTTGACTTCCATGAGATTTGTTGCTCCTTCTTCTTCCAGACTGCCAAGGTCCCACTGGGTGGCTGCCCTGTCTTTGAGCATAATGACTGATTCTCTTAGTTGGCCCTCATTTGTAGACATCCTCCAGCTAATTGAGGGAGACATAAAGCATTTGAGGTCCCAGGACAGAGCCCTGTGTGTCTTCACCTGTCACTGGCCTCCAGATAAAGAAAATCTTGTCAACTACTCTACCAGAAGCTAAATCACCCACCTCATGTCTTCTTCATATGGCTGCCCAGCCAGCAAGACCATCACATCCTGACTTCAATGCAAGACTATTCTGGAATAACAAGTCATAAACCTTTCTAAAGTCAGGGTAGGTGACAACCCCTGCTCCATCTTCCTCCAAAACACCAGCTGTTTTATCCTGAAAGGAAACTAGGTTATTGAAACATGATTTAGGCTAGGGAAATATGTGGTGGCTGCTCTCAAACATAATATTCTCCATGTGTCCAGAGATGTGCTCCAAGGTGTGCTGCTCCAAGCTTTTCCAAGGAACTAAAGTGAGGCTGACCAGCCTACTACTCTTTAGATAACTATTTTTACCTTTTGTAAAGAAGCATGCAAATTTGGCTTTCCTACAGTCATCAGGTGTGCCTGCCCTCCATTTCACAACCCCTCAAAAAAATGTAAGAGGGAAGCTGTGCTTCCCTCTCCATCATTTTGGAAAGGTCGTTGTGATGGGGATATTCCCAATGACTGGAAAAAGCAACCATTGCTCCAATTACTTAAGTAGGGCTGTAACAGGGAGCAGGGCTCAGCCAGATAAGTGTACAAACCAGCGGCTTGTTGATGTCTCCTTTTCTTCACCCTCCTTTCTCTTTTCCCATGCTTGCTCCTTTCTGATTCAACTTGATCACTTTGTTTCCTTTCATCTGGCTTTTCTCCTGAGCATCCCAGCATGACTTTACATACTCGCATGATCCTTGTGAACCACCCAGAACAGGTTGTACACAGACCCAAATCCCCTCTATGATGTCACAAAGAGTGTGTTTTTGCCAGGAGACACAGGAGAATTTTTTCTCTTTGTTATCAGCTGCAGAGTTCTGGATTACCCTCATTGAGGTTACACTGGGAAGATTTCTCCCATGCTCCTCCTCCAGTGACTTGAGAGCTCTGGTGCCTGCTGTCTACTGCTTGATGTTGTGGAGGGCTGAGTTGCTGTTCTAAGGAAAAATGATTCTGCCAGTTGGTGCTGTCAGGAACTTTGTGATAGGTAGACAACTTTATAATCACCGGAGGTGTAGTAAATACAGCTGATGAAGAAGACAAAAAGAGCTCTTGTGCTCAAAAACTTGGACCTCTTACAGCACATTACTCCATTTGGGCAGTTGTATAATCCTACAGCTTACACTGAAAACAATAATTGGAGTCAGGTTTTGTGGTCCTAAATGTAGACATCTGATATCAATTCAGTTGGCCAAATTAATTTACCACCAGGACCAGAGAGGATGCCCCCAGGTCCTGTCCTGCCTCTCAGCTTTGTTGCATTAGAGCCTGAAGTGACCTGCACATATTTTTTACCAGCTCTGGCACCTCAAGTGTCAGCAGGTTTTTGTGTGTGAACTCTTGCTCTCCATCTCCATTAATTAGCATGGGAGCCGAGACAAGAAGTTCACATTCAGGTTCCTGTTTCGCGCACACCTAAACTGAGGCTAGACAAATCCCACCTCCTGTGGGTTTGTGGGGTATATAGGAGGGAGCTGACTCCCTTTGACCCCCCAGGACTACACACCCAGGATGAGATGCCTCTATTAACTCAACTGAATCCCTTCCCTCAGCATGGGTTCTTCCCTGTCTCTGTGTGTCCTGTCTAATGGTGGGACAAGGAGCAATCATTCGTATGCCTATCTCAGAGGAGAAATGACACTGCTGGGAATAAGTGCCTCTGCAGAATGGTAGATTAGTAGCAATTCCATGATTACCTTAGTCTCTTTCAGAGTAGGTTTCTGAGGAGCCCCAGGGTAATCTCAAGTGCTCCCTTGATCTGGGCCTCTGCTCCTGACAGGGGCTGCGCTTCTGGTGTGGAGGGAGCTGATGACAACCAAGTTGCACTGCAGAGACACAGCTCTTCCCAGGAGCAGCTCCTCTGCAAAGTGCAGCAGGGCTTGGGGCGCTGCCTGCAGGCATCATGAGGAGATGAAAGAGCTATTTGAAGTGGGAAGACAACATAGATTTCATTGCAAGAGGAATCTTCACAGCTCTTAACATAGTAAGTCTCTAGCTGCAAGCAGTACAGACACAGTTGTTGGAGGGTCCTTCTAATCTGGCACATCTCACATCTTACGGGGTGCATTGGGTTTGCATAGCAAGGTTTTGGTACCGGTGTGGGGGCTAAAGGGGTTTCTTCTGTGAGAAGCTGCTGGAAGACTCCCCTGTGTCCAATAGAGGCAATGCCAGCCAGCTCCCAGACAGACCCACTGCTGGCCAAAGCTAAACCAATCACAGTCATAACACCTCTGTTATAACATATTTGAGAAGGGGGGGTGGGGGGTGGGGAAAGAAGAAAAATTGCAGCAGAGAGAGAGTGAGATGTGATAGAAACATTCTGCACACACCAAGGTCAGTGGAGAAGGAGGGGTGGGGAGGTGCTCCGGGTACCAAAGTAGGGCTTCCCCTGCAGCCTGTGGTAAAGACCGTGGGGCAGCATGCTGTGGCACTGCAGCCATGGATAGTAACAGTGAAGCAGAGATCCACCTGCAGCCTGGGGAGGACATCACACTGGAGAAGGTGCCTGAAGGAGGCCGTGACCCTGTGGGCAGCCCGTGCTGGAGCAGGCTTCTGGCAGGAGCTGTGGCCCGGTGGAAAGAGGAGCCCAGGCTGGAGCAGGCTGCTCCTGAAGGACTGCAACCTGTGGGAAGGACCCACACTAGAGCAGTTTGTGAAGAACTGCAGCATGTGGGAGAGACGCATATTGAAGAAGTCTGTGGGGAACTGTCCTATGTGAGGGTCCCCACTCTGAAGTAAGGGAAGAGTGTGAGAAGTCCTCTGAGAAGGAAGAAGCAGCAAGAACATGTGATGAACTGATTATGACCCCCACTCCCTGTCTTCCCTATGCCACTCTGGGGAGGAGGTAGAGCAAACAGGAGTGATGTTGAGCCCAGGAAGAAGGGAAGGCTGACGGTAATTGCTGAATGATCTCTCCCTGTCCTTATCTCAACCCAAAAGCTTTCTGTTATATTTTCTCTCCCCTGCCCAACTGAGGAGGGGGAGTGGTAGAGTGGTGGGCACCTGGCTGACAGCAAATCTCTCCCACAGCATGTGTGTGTAAGGTGAAGGACAAGTACAGAGGTACTGCTGACAGGGATATAATGCTGGGCAGGTGAAATGAACTCTGTGTCCTTGGAAAGCAGTGGGGTGCTGAGACCTTGTTCATATACTCAGAGGCAGGGTGAGACTCTTAGTGACCTACAGTAGATTCCTCTGCTCTCAGCAGACCCTGATTTCTTCTTAGAGTAACATAGGAGTGCAATCCCTCTCCATCTCAAGGAGCAAATGCAGTGATGCTGGGAACAAAGCAAATGGACAGGCCTGCTTGCATGCCTCTTCATCAAGCCACAAAGAATCCTTTTGCCTCTCAGAATTGACAGGTCTTCAGCCTTAGTGCAGCAGAGCTGCTCAGGATTTCTGACTTCAGAGGAGACTCCCCAGGGAAGAACAGAGTGGGTGGGGACGGGCTGACCAAATAAACCAACAAAGAAAAGCCTAAATCCCTTTCTACAACCAACTTCCTTTAATATTGGGAGTGAAGCTGCTGACAAGCTCTTCAGTATTTAAAGGGATTTTGTCTGAGAAATTCTGACTATCAGCTCTGTCCCCTGCATCCCCACTGCCCCCGGGTAGACCCTGAATTTGAGCATGATCGACACCTTGGGAGCCAATGGGCAGAGGTCCTCTTCCCACACCTTACTCCGCCAGCAAAGCCAAGGTTCCAGCCAGGGAGCTGCACAAAGGTCCTGGGAAACAGGAAAATGGATGGATGTGTGGCAGAGGAAGAGCCTAAAAGAAATCTTTTTGGTTTTTCTCAGACAAGTCTGTCCTCACTTGTCACTGTCTTTTCCTCCTTGCACAGGCCCCTGAGTCCATAGGGAGAAAATGTCCAACAGCAGCTCCATGGACGATTTCCTCCTCCTGGTATTTGCAGACACACAGAAGCTGCAGCTCTTACATTTCTGGCTCTTCCTGATCATCTACGTGGCTGTCCTCCTGGGCAATGTCCTTATCATCACTGCCATAGCCTGTGACCACCACCTCCACACTCCAATGTACTTCTTCCTTCTCAACCTCTCCCTCCTTGACATGGGCTCCATCTCCACCACTGTCCCCAAATCTATGGCCAATTCCCTCTTGGACACCAGGTCTATCTCCTATGAGGGATGTGCTGCACAAGTCTTTCTGCTTGTCTTCTTGATTGGAGCAGAATATTCATTTCTTACTATCATGGCCTATGACCGCTATGTTGCCATTTGCAAACCCCTGCACTATGGGTCCCTGATGGGCAGCAAAGCTTGTGTCAACATGGCAGCAGCTGCCTGGGGCAGTGCTTTTCTCAATGCTGTGTTGCACACTGCTAACACATTTTTGCTACCACTCTGCCATGGCAATACTGTGGACCAGTTCTTTTGTGAAATACCCCTGATCCTCAAACTCTCCTGCTCAGACTCCAACTTGAAGGAAGTTGGACTAATTGTGGTTAGTGCATTTTTAATCTTTGCTTGTTTTGTTTTCATTGTTGTGTCCTATGTGAGTATCTTCAGGGCTATGCTGAGGATCCCCTCTGAGCAGGGACGATACAAAGCCTTTTCCACATGCCTGCCTCACCTGGCTGTGGTCTCCCTGTTTATTAGCACTTTAATGTTTGCCTACCTGAAGCCCCCCTCCATCTCCTCCCCAGCTCTGGATCTGGTGGTTACTATTCTGTACTCAGTAGTGTCTCCAGCAGTGAACCCCCTCATCTACAGTATGAGGAACCAGGAGCTCAAACACGTATTGAAGAAACTCATCTTACTAGTGGTACTTCAAAAGCAGTGAAATCCACAAGTGATCTCCAGTTGATGTAGACAAGTGGTATGCTTCGGGTGTTTTGTCACTGATAATCATGGTCACATAGGAAAGATTGCCGTCACCCCAGTTCTCCAGGGACACAAACCCTGTCTGTCTGACCCAGAGGTCTTCTGTAAATTTTTCTATTATTATGCTACAGATGGGCTCCTGTGTGGCATCTCTTTAATGAAATGGGATTTTTTTAGTTCAGAGCCCAAGGTTTGGCATTTACTTCCAAAACTGGAGTCAATAACATGTTCAAGGAACAGCAGTCCAAAAGGCTGTAGATAATACCTGCTCAGCTCTTACCAGCAGTGAGTCGACTGCTGATGCACCTAGAACTAGCTGTGCAAGGCATGGGTTAGAACCTTGTTTCTTCTCACAGAGAACATCCCTGCAGACACCCACCCCCTGTCCTTAAATACACCCAGTAAATGGGATTATTCTTCCCCTGTGTAGACATCATCTCCATCCCCTTCTTTACCTTCAGGAATTTTCTGTTGGCCAAACCCTTGTGTTTGAGATCCCTTGGACTGAAGGGTTTCTAGCTGTTAAAAGCAAGTGAGAGATGGCTTATCTTCACTTGTGATGGCTCTATGAGGATAATAACATTAGGAATTACAGGACATTACATGCAATGAAGTGGTGTATACATTGAAAAGAATTGATGCTCAAGGTAGAAAGTACCACAGTAACCAGCTGAAAAACATCTAAAGAGAATACAATACATTCAGAGCATGGCACATGCGGAAAGGGTTATCAAGCTAGGCTGATCCAGTGTACAAGGAAGTTATAAAAGAATGATGTGAGAGGGGGAAAAGAGGTAAACTTAGAGTGAAGAAAGACATGGCAATGGTCAGGTTTCTTTGGGGTACTTGTGAAGCAACCCTGCACTTGTTGTGAATTACATATGTCAAGGAGAACATTAGTGCTTTCTCTAATGCTGACAATATAATGAGGGGCAAAGAACATCATTCAGGCTGAAGGAACATAAGAAGCATGTAGATGAACCTCACACAAAATTCAGGGTCATACCATGTAAGCTGGCACTATGTCCAGATGGGTCTTGAAAACATCCAGGGAGGGACCTGGTGTACCTGCTCTGGGAAACAGCTTCCAATGTTTCACTGTCCTCATACTGTAGAACTTTCTGCCCACATCTGGCCTGATGCTCTCGTTTCCCATTAACTCTTGTTCTGCCCATTCTCTATCCACCAAGGTTGTGACCCCATCGTAGAAGGCCACCATATTCATCAGGAACAATCTGCCATTGGTGAAGCCACATTGGCTGTCACCAATCACCTTCTCATTCTCCATGTGCCTTTAAATAGTTTCCAGGAGGATTTCCTCCATGATCCTGCCAGGCACAGAGGTGAGACTGACTGGCCTGTAGTTTCCCGGGTACTCTTTTTTCCCTTTTTAAAGACGGGGGTTATGTTTCCCCTTTTCCAGTCAGCAGTCACCAGACTGCCACATCATCTCAAATATGATGAATAGAGGTTTAGCAACCTCATCCACCAGTTCTTTCAGGACCCGCGAATGTATTCCATCAAGTCCCATGGTCTTGTGCACCTTCAGGTTCCTCAGGTGTCCCGAACCTGATCCTCTGCAACCATCGGTGGCTTTCCATTTTCCCAGTCCCTGCTCTTGCCTTTCATGTCTCGGGGGGTACGGCTCATGCCCTTGCCAGTGAAGACTGAGGCAAAGAAAGCATTGAGTACCTCGGCCTTCTCCATGTCCTGGGATGCCAGCTCTCCCGTTTCCTTCCGCAGAGGGCCCACATTCTCCCTGACTTTCTTCTTATCCCCTATGTAACTATAGAAGCCCTTCTTGTTGGCCTTGATATCCCTGGCCAGGTTCAATTCTGTCAGGGCTTTGGCTTTCCTGACCTGATCTCTAACCTCTCAGACAACTTCCCTGTACTCCTCCCAGGCCACCTGTCCCTGCTTCCACCCACTGTAGGCTGCTTTTTTCTGCCTCACTTTGTCCAGGAGCTGCTTGTTCATTCACACGGGCCTCTGGACGCTTTTATCTGACTTCCTCTTTGTTGGGATGAATTGCTCCTGAGTGTAGAGGAGAAGGTCCTTGAATACTTGCCCGCTTTCTTGGGCCCCTCTTCCCTGGCAGGGCTTCATCCCATGGAACTCTGCCATTCAGGTCCCTGAAGAGACCGAAGTCTGTTGTCATGAAGTAAAAGGTAGCAAGCTTGCTGCGCACCCTCCTTGCCTCGTAAATATCTCAAACTCCAACATCTCATCACTGCTGCAACTAAGGCTGCCCTTGAGCTTCACGTTCCTCACCAGCTCCCTCTGTTGGGAAGAACAAGGTACCCGTGTGAACACTGGTTCACATACCTGTGCCTCTAGAGTCAAAGCAGGTTTTCCATCCCACCTCCTCATGTCATCTCCATGGTCATGGACGTAAAACTACAGGATACTTCTTGGTGTATACCTTCTATACTTTCTTGAGCATAGGATTCTTACTCCTAATAGCTGAGACGTTGGTCCATACAGACAGAGGGCAGGATGTCTGATCTTTGAATTGGTGGAATTTTCGGGACAGTTTCTCCACAGCTGTGACACAGGGCTGTTTGGAGGAAGAGAGATTTTCCTCATATTCCCAGGGTTGGGAACCCATTTCGTCCACTGTTGGCACCTCTTTTCTTCTCCATGTCATCACTGCCAATGAGTTGTCATACAATGATTGTGCGCTCTGCACATCTTTCCACCACATGGGTTGTTTACATAGAATTTCATCTGGATCTGTGGATAACTATGCATTGTTCAGGTCATAATAGATCATCTCTATGAGGTTAATTCCTTCATGTACTAGATACTTTTCTCTATGGTTGTCCACTTGCCTGGGTGACATATAACATCTCCTTTGAAGGGATATCTTTCTTTCATGCTTGACAGGTGTCATCTCCAGAGGCTCATACTTTGTTTCCCTTTTCCATTTGCTTTGTCAATGCACCCCTCCCTAGCAAGTGATCCCAAGTGTTTGGCTTCTCTACCTTCTAAAGGCAGGCTACTACCCCATTGTCCCAGCATCAGAGCAGCCAGGTGATAATATGCTCACCTGGATGACACCTGAAATCTTTTGTATATTCCATAGCTCACCCAGAGATAGAGAGAGTGTGGTTATGATTTGCTCCACCTTCTCCTACTACTACTGTAGTGATGGCCCTCCTATGTCCTCCTTTACTAGATTGGCTGTTTTTCATGTCCTTTTTTCTTGTGGGTAGGGGTAACTGATACTGTCACTGGTTGATTCTCTGGTTCAGCTGCATCACCCATCACTGGGGTTTGAATAGCCGTAATGCCAGTCGCTGGGGTTTGAGTAGTCACAGTGCCCGTTACCAAGGTTGAGATAGCTGCACAGTGCCTGCATACACACCAAGCATTGGTAGCAAACAGGTGGTATATTTAAATAGTTGTTTAACCCTGAGCAAGACCTGAAAAACATTCAGAAGACCTAGCAATAGGAGCATGCTGGTTTGAACATCACAAGGATATTAAAAATTTTCGAAATACTCAAACACTATTGTACTTAGTCTAGAAGACAACGGGAAGATATAGGATGATGTCTCCTCCATAGATTGGCTGTCCAAAGAAAAATGGTGAAAATGGTAATAAATGTCGTTATTACTAGTTTCCAGGAGATGGCACCGGAGGTACAGAGATGATAGCAATACTGACAACAGATACCAGATTGTTTTTCGAGTGTTACACAGTACAGCAAACAATACCCTTGAATCGGACTCCAGAGATGAAAACCAGCACAACTGGGAGCTACATCCCACAGTTCTAATAACACCTCTAAGACCAAAGCAATCAACATTGTGACCAGTGACCACCAAACTAATACAGTGAATACTTACAACAATTTTGCTTTAACACACTCTCGTCAGATCTGTCATTATCTCAACTCTTCGTGCCCCACACTGGGCACCAAAAAAGGACTGTCATGGTTTAACCAAGGTCAACGACCACACAGTCACTTGCTCACTTTCCCCTTCTCCCAGTAGGACTGGAGAAAGAATCATAGACTCTTAGAATCATAGAATGGTTTGGGTTGGAAGGGACATTAAAGATCATCTAGTCCCACCCTCCCTGCCATGGGCAGGGACACCTTCCACTACACCAGGTTGCTCAAAGCCTCATTCAGCCTGGCCTTGAACACTTCCAGGGATGGGGCATCCACAGCTTCTGTGGGCAACCAGTTCCAGTGTCTCCCCACCCTCTCCATGAAGAACTTCTTCCTTACATCTCACCACTTTCAGTTTAAACTCGTTACCCCTTGTCCTGTCTCTACAAGCCCTTGTAAAAAGTCCCCCTCAGCTTCCTTGTAGACCCTTTCAGGTACTGGAAGGTGCTATAAGGTCTCCCCAAAGCCTTCTCTTCTCCAGGCTGAACAAGCCCAATTCTCTCAGCCTTTCTTCACAGGAGAGGTGCTCCTATGGTGGTGGACCAGCCAGCACTGTGTAGAAGAGGAGCTCATTCCTGCCTGAAACCAGCACAACAGCTTAAAGAGCCAAGAAGTTAATGTCCTGACCAGCCACCACCACATCACTATAACACATACTTATCACACAGTTCTGTTTCAACACACAGTAATCAGATCTATTCTTATCCAATCCTTCAAGCCCCACATTGGGTACCAAAAAGGATTGTCATGGTTTAACCTTGACTAGCAATAAAGTACCACACAGCTACTTGCACAACTCCTTCTCCTCAGGACCTGTGGACGTATTTCATCAGGTCCCATTCAGTTGTGCGCTTTCAGGTTCTTTAGGTGATCCAAAACCTGCTCCTCTGTAACCATCAGCAGCTTTCCATTCTTCCAGTCCCTGCCCTTGCCTTCTGCCACTCGGGTGGTATGGCTTGCTAACTTGCCAGTGAAGACCAAGGTAAAAAAACAATTGAGCATCTCAGTATTGTCCATATCCTGGGGAACCAACTCTCCTGTTTCTTTCTGGAGAGGGCCCA